AGGCAGTGCAGAAACAGAAAGCCTTTCATATGTAAACCAGACAGCAAGCATGGGTTTGGGTGCATACACCCGGCTGAGTTAGCTCTATAATGAGGATTAATAAAAATAGGCAGTAGAAATGGGCAAATTCCAGGGGACATCCCAGTGAAACGAGCACGTAACAAACCTTCCCACCTGCCTGGGCAGCCTGGATATTTGGGAGAGCAGCAGCAGAGCCGTAGGTACCACTGCCCTCACCTGCTCCTGGGACTGGCTCCGGCACTGCTGCCAGCCTCTGGAGATCGTGTCTTCATCTGTGATTGTGTAAGAGCATGCCTAGGAACAAAAGATTTCAAGCTGGCCTTCTTTATTGTTGTTCCGAAGTTGTCAAATGCTTCCTGTACTGCAGGAAATGTCAGCCACAGATAGGGCTTAAAATAAATCATTGATAGACATTCTCAGCGTGAGTGCTTGGCCAACACGTACACAGTAGCCAAGTCTTCTCCAGGGTCACCTTAATTTTTGAATTAAGTAGATACTATCAGAAAGAGGGGTGGTTTTGTGTTGTTGGTTTTTTTTTCTTTCTTTCTTTTTATGGGGTTTCTTTTTTCTTTGTTTGCTTTTGGGTGGAAAAAAATTTTGATGGCTTGAAAGCAAAGCACTTAATAGATTTTTATTTGCTTTTCCCAGTAAGTCAATTCTAACCAAAAGTGGAAGAGAACTTGAAAAAGCTTGATCCCTTCTGGTGCACCTCTATCAAAGATGGTTTCTGCATCGTGTTTCAGAGAAATCTCTCTTGTTAAGCTTTTAAAAACACTAGCTTACATCTATTTAAGCAAGTAAGAGTTCAAACTGAAATGAGTGGCTGATATTTAAAGATGGGAGAAAACTTTATTTCAATATAAAACTATAAAAAAATCTAGAGAATTTAATATGAAAATAAAAAGAAGAAGAAGAAGAAGAAGAAAAAAAAAAACACTATGTATTTCATGGATTTTTCATGTTTTTGTCACCTTCTGGTACAGAAAAAAGCTTTGAAATCATGAAATTCCCTGAACCAACCAAATAAATCTTCTAATCCCCCCTCAGCTTTCGCACTAACCCTTCCACCCACCCTCGCAGGATATGGCAGAGGTGCTGAAGGGAGACCTGAGTGGCAATTTCGAGAAGGCCGTGCTGGCTCTGCTGGACCTTCCCTGCGAGTACGAGGCCCGGGAGCTTCGGAAGGCTATGAAGGGTGCTGGGACAGACGAGTCACTGCTGATTGAGATTCTCTGCACACGAAGCAACAAGGTTGGGACACACGGGTGGATTTTACATGCGGTGTGTCTTAGGTAGCAGGGCGAAGAGCGGGCCTGTGTCCGCTGCAGCCTGAAGGTTGTCACACCAGGGTCAAAACTCTGACAAGAGTAAGAGCTGTGCAATTCAGATTCCTTCCTCAGCCCTACACATCCTCCACACATCTCCTGTGGAGGCACAGGGAAGCACTGGGGATGTAGAAGTCCCCAGGAGCCTATCTGGAGGCAGCTGTCAGAGCCTTCTGCACAGCTCTGGCTGTGGCTCCCACCACTTACAAGAGCACAGTCCTCTTCAAAAATCCCTTTAGCTCATCCCTGAATGCAGACAAAACCAGCCAGGCACCAGTCCAAATGCTGTCAAGGTGGTGGTGAGGGCGAGTTGTGCTCTTTGTGCCCTCTCACAGCTCCACACCTGCAGCGTCTGAAGCACCAAGGGCACGGTACTGACCTGCTGCTTTGTCTGTTTGCCTATTGATTTATGTTTCTTATTTCCCTAGGAAATCATAAACATAAAGGAGGCGTACAAGCGGCGTGAGTAGTGTTCCTTTTCAAACACCTTCATTTAGAGCCTTCATTATTGAGTGAACCCTCTCAGATTTGATTTCTTTTCCTCCACAGTCTTTGATCGGGATCTAGAGTCTGATGTGAAAAGTGACACAAGTGGCTCCCTGAGGAAGGTGTTGGTCACTGTGCTGGAGGTAAGGCCGGGAACTTGCTACTATGCACCTGCTGGGGAGAGAAATTTCATTTTTTCCATCATAATAAGGATCAGCTGCTATTTAGAATAAGGTGACTGTAATAATTAATATAATAATGAATATAACAGTTATTATAATAAGCAAAAGGCATTCTCAAAAGCATTCTTCAGGATAAGAGCCTTTACGTTTGCAACTTTTTAATATAACAGCAAGGTTTATATAAAATCACAAGTGAGTTTTTAAATTCTGATTTCTTTGAAGACAGCAGAAATGAAAAGATTCACTAAATACACCAGTCTGGAAAGCACTGGTATATTTTCAGGAGAGACAAATGCATGTTATCCATAGATTTTTTTTTGACTCGAGGCTGAACAGCAAAGCCTAATGCTTGAGATTCCTGTCCTGCTCCTGAGGCATCAGATGTGCAATGGCCTTAGGGCCTCAGCACACAGCAAATAAAACTGTGAGATAAACCCTGCCTCGATGAATATTCAGGCTTCACCTCTGAAGTCTGGGGTAAACTTGTACGGTTGGATCCTGTGCCACCACAGTGGCCCATTACTAGGCTGCTGTCAGCAGATGGCAGCAAAACTATAACCAGAATAAACGTGAGGGCTTCGAAATTGCCACTTTCCTTCCCATTATGACTGTAATCAGCACTTGGTCTTTTTTCCTACTGTAATATCCTCTTCCGTAGGCAACTCGGGACGAGAGCCAACAGGTCAACACAGAGCTCGCTGAGCAAGATGCCACAGATCTGTATAAAGTAAGTGAAACTGCAGAAAAAGCCCCCTTGTGCTGTGCTGCTCAGCAATGTGCTGCCTGGGAGGCAACAAAATGCACTGAGCACGGAGGCAAGGGCAGGGTACAGAGCTGAAGCGGGGGGTGCACGGGCTGGAGTGTGGTGAATCAAGGGCTCAAGCTGACTTTTTGTCTCTGCTGTGAATAAACAAGTGCTTAAAAAAATGACACACAATCTTTAAGGCAGGAGAAGGCCGCTGGGGAACAGAGGAGCTGGCTTTCAATGTGGTCTTAGCAAAGAGAAGCTACAGTCAGCTGAGAGCAACCTTTCAAGCCTATGAAAAGGTGAGTTATTCCCTTCTGTGATGTGGGCTGCACAGGGCCTCACGTGTAGTTTGCAGACCCTATGACAACATGTAGGGCAGGTGATCCTTTATTTGCCCTTTTTAAAGGAATCTCCAAAAATATTTCTATATGACTGGGTCCTGAAAGAAATCAGGGATAAAAGCTGTGTCTTCTGCCATTGAAGAACCCACTCCCCTTTATAACCCACACAACATCCAGCCAAATAAAGACTGTGATGTCCTTTCCTTTCCACAACTGCATGGCTGTGGGTGTCCCCGCTCCTGCAGCAGGACTGGCAAAGAGAGATGTTCCTAAACTCCTGCCCTGAAGCAGAACTTTGCCTTTCTGATCTTTTCTTCTCCTCCAAAGCAGAGCCTGGCAGGGTCTCTCATCGTGGCCACCCTGCTTCACACACTCCTATTGACTGTTTAACCTTCCCCTTCCAAACCAACGTACCCTACCAGCCCATTGATTGCCATGACACCACATCGTGGTGCCTCTGCTGAAGACCACAGAACACGGTTGACACAGTGGTGGTGGCCTTGTGGTGGCTGTCCCATTTATTTTTAGTGGCCTGACCTTTTGGGGGCAGTGAGGAAGGCACACGGATGGGTGCATGTGTGCCAGGTCAGTCCCTGGCTTACTCCTGAGACCCTGGTGTCTCTGGGGGTGCCTCTTCCAACCTCTTGCACTCCTCCTCAGCCCTTCTGCCAGAGCAGGGGCACACCTCCAGCCTCTTCCTCCCTGCCCTCCCTGAGCAGACAGCTGCTGCAAGGACTTTGCTGTGCTCTCCTCTATCTCCGAGCAAAAGGCAAACTAGGCTGGCAGGATCCCATCCAGCTGCTTCGTCTGGTGTCACCCACCAGGGACATTTTACTCATGACTGGACCTGGAGCTGACCTCCACCGATGCCTTTCACCTGGAAATTACCCATGAAAGTCCAAGCAAGGGGAGATCCTTCTCCCGGCAGAAAGGTGGAAGCTCAGCAGTGACATTTATTCTCAGGAGAGGGCCACACCTCCAGTCTCTGTCTCTTAGCCCTGAGCTTCGTAGGATGACTGAGTTCATCAGGAAACCATAACCCTGCGCACGGGAGATGTAAAAACCTTCAATCGCAGCCATATTTCAGTGTCAGCACAATAAGGAACCCTTAGCTGGAAAAATGTCTGCAGCTTAATCCAGCTTTTGGTTTGCTGCTGGCAGGAGAACAACAGTCACTGACTGGCAGTTCTTCGTAGTCCTGCAAACCCCGGGGGGTTCCAAGCTACCTTGGCTTTTGGATTCATAAAGCTGAGCAGATCAGGTTGCCCAAACCAAGCCACCACATCCTGCCTGGCTGCATCTGAAGGAGAAGGGGGCCAAGATTAGAGCCACACGAACTTGAGTCCTTCTCCACATTTGGTTAAGATAAGTAGGGCTGGCTCTACACCAGGCTGACACTTGCAGAACCTCTCAAGGCACCCGTTGCTGCTTTGTACCTGCGATCTCCTGGGCATGAACAAAATCCACCCGAGTTTTGAGCCATGCAGGGCCATCCTGATAGCAAAACAGAGCAAAGTAAAAGGCTTTGAGGTTCGCAACATTCACAAAGGACAGGATGAACTCTGTTTTAAAGTAGTAGTCTGTTTTTCCCCTTTCCTACAGAATAATACAATAACTAGGGAACAACTGCAGTGCCTGTAAGCTTTCCCTGAGCAGCCAAAGACAATAAGTAACAAAACTTCATAGAGCTGGTAAAGTTCCAAAATTTATCTTCTGTGTGTGGAAGCCAGCCAGAGCTTGATAAAGGGGTTAGAGGGAGCTCAGAGAGTTTCTCTTTTGCTTGGGGTTGCTCAAGAAGAAGCCACAACTTGTTTGTCCTAGAAGCCCTTGGGTATGCATACAACTTGCTTGATTTAGGTTGATCTAATTGCTATGCCTCACCAGGCCTTGTAGTCCCTCTTGGTGCCAGCGGATCTGTGAGCACTTACACCAGAAAGGATCTTCACTTACCCTTGAATTGCTCCCCTGGAAAGTCTCAAAAGGATCTGAACTGGCCTTTTGCCATTGTGTCCTAAAGCTGATGCTGGTTTTATGGCAGTGGGATGACTTGTACAGACAGCAGCTCTGATGGCTACTCTTTGTTGTCCCTCTAGGTGTGTGGGAAAGACATAGAAGAATCCATTAAAAGTGAAACATCTGGAGATCTGGAGAAGGCTTACCTCACTCTTGGTAAAAAAGTGTTGAGAGCTTTCATTTTTTGTTCTTGCCCTCATTCCTGGGGTTCCGTACATAGGTGACAGCTATTGAGATAGCCTTCAACTGAAGCTGACTCCTCTTCTAGGAAAAGAAGAACCAGGTTTCGGTAATGATTTGGAGCCCTTAGTTTTAGAAATAAAACATATCAGACACATCTCCTCTTCACGAGGCTACATTATTTGCCCTTTAAAACAGGGTGACCAGCTTCAAGCTTCCCCTGAGGCTGTGTCTGCTGATAACTTCCAGCTGATGCCTGGGCACCATCAGCGGTGCTACCAGGCTACCACCAAAACATACAGGGTCCCGTACAGCCATTTGGCACTGGGGGTGACTGTCACCTGTATTTACACCTCTACCCTGCCTCTGGTAAACTTACTGGTATTGATTTTATCCGTGTGGATCTGGGCTCTCCCAAATCTCTTCCCCCTCTGAGCTGCGGAGTGAGCAAGTATCCCGAGAAGAGATGGGCAAGGAGATCTCCAGATAGGCAAATGCTCATTCTCATCCATTTCATTTTCACTGTGGAATGGCAGCACATTCAGTGCTGATCATTACACTGTGTAACATGCTTTCCCTGTGGAGAAATGTATTCCCCCATTCAAGCCCCAAACCTCCTTACATACTGTCAGGGGCCAGTTACAGAACAAGAGCCCAACCAGCTCTGTGTGATCATAAATCCTAAAGAGTTTTCTTTCTTTCTTATTTATTTCCTTCTCATTGAAGATGTATTTCAAAGTGTAAATGTGCAGGTGTAATGAGGTTTCTTACTGTTTTCCAGTCAGCTGCGCCAAAGACTGCCCGGGTTACTTTGCTACACTTCTGCACAAGTCAATGAAGGGAGCTGGGAGTGATGAAGAGACCTTAATTCGTGTCCTTGTGACCAGATCTGAGGTAGGACACCCTGAAACCTGCAATACTGTAATACCATCAGCTCTGGGAGAAATACAGAGGTACACTGAGCGCTGGTAGATCGTGTGCTCAGCCAGCCCCTTCCAGACCAATGACACCAGAGGTCACACTCTGCTTTTGTACCTAGGCAACTCTAATTTTGGTATTGCATCTCATTCTGTTTTGGGAAACAAAACCAAAACACAACAAAACAAAACAAAACAAAAACAAAACAAACAAACAAAGAAAAAAGAAAGCATACAGGAAATTTCAAGTGGAGTCAACTGTACCTAAATAAAATTGGTCCATGGGGAGGTCTGGCCCCAGTAAGATGTATAACAGTAAATGCCTAGTTAAGTAATGATAAAGCAGCAGTTCCCAAATTGACAGTTTCTAATAAACATGTGTCACCAATTCTCTCCGATTCCAGCTGGGAAAAAACAGATGGGAAGGAGGGAAGAAAAATTAAGAGCCAAAGTAGATAATTGTAATCTTAAAAAGCACAAAACTGCACAAGGCATTTGAGATCATAAACACAGCCTTTAACTCTTCCTTCCATGTAAGCTGTTGAGATTGTATAACCTCAGAGCTGTTCCAGTCTTGACACAGAGAAGTTGTTCACATGGACGAGGAGAGCCTACATTTCAATGATCAATAGTGTGCGAAATTAGTCGCCAGTGTAGTCTCTTGTTAAGATGTGGTTTAACTCTGAGAATGTTTCAAAACCAGTGATAAAGATCAGGGCTGTGCCATGGGTACCTTTTCCCAGGAAAGCTCAAGACAAGGCATTTCATTCTCCCCACGCAGTAACCAGAAAATTACCGTGGTGGGTGGGTGGAACAAAACTGTCTTTTAAACATACTCCTGGAAGTGATACTCCTTCTTGCCACTGCAGAGTGGCCTCAGGAGCATGCAGTGATCTAGCACCAATGCTGTGCCCACACAACACTGCTGAGCACCAGGCAAAGATGCCCCCAGGCACCCCGGCATGGCTCTCCACTCAGGCCCGTACCCCTCACCACACACCATCTGACATGGGCTTACCTCAAGTCCCACTATTAAGCTGGGTCCAAGGTTTTTGGACCTCCTGCTTTCTCCTCTTCTCCTCCCACTGGCATCAGTGGACTTTGGGTCAGACCCCGGGGTTCCTCGTAGAAACAGGGCACATTGCACAAAGCACATCTACTCATCTAAAGAAACTCTTGGTATCTCCTCAGACCGACCTGCCAGAAATAAAGGGGAAGTTCCAGCAAATGTACAAGAAGTCATTAACTGAAGCTGTCCGTTCTGATACCTCTGGGGATTTCAGAAAGTTGCTGCTGGCTATTTTGCACTAAAAAGCCATCAAGAATGAAGAAGCATGCTGAGCAGCCACCTCTTGATTAGTTTCCAAAATAGCATCCAAAAAATGTGGCATTAGCACAAAGAAAAAAAATCCGATTTATTTTCTTTCCAGCTGGGAAACATGTTGCCAAGTAAAGCTGGACGTGAGGTTTATGTTATGGCTATCTCGCCAAATGTCCTTAAGCAATAAAGACACGTTAAAAAACTAAATCTAAATTGGCCTCTTTGTGTCTGCATATGTGGAGGAATCTTTAATTTCTGTCATGATTTCTTCTGGGTAGACTTATTGCCTTTATTTAGTTCCAAAAATTGTCCCTGATCTTTCCCTGCCTTTTCCCCCAATTTGAAGGGTGTCGTGTCATGCCATGACAGTCCTGCCAAGAGAAAATGGATAGAAATTTCTTTTCAACCCATTATTACAGCTCTTCAAACAACCTGTGGGCTGTGAATTAATGATTTAAGTCAAGCCTGAGAAAAATCCCGCTATCAAAAGTGAAGGTTGGAGCGAGTTCCCTGTCTGTGAGCTCCTGCCTCAGCATCATCACCTCCTACATTATCCCATGAAGGAGATAAGGAATTGCAGTCCATGTTAGTACCACCTCCTGAGATATGGCACAGGAGAATGGCTGGGGAAGAGACGGGACTTCATGAGGTGGATGCGTCCATCGGGAAAATGCTGTTCCTACAGAGCTAGACATGGACCTCAGGACAGTTGCACAGTCTCTGTCCTTGGAGGTTTCCAAGACCAAACTGGGTAAAACCCTGAAAAATATGGTCTGATCTCATGGTTGACCCTGCTTTGAGCAGAGGGTCAGATGAGAAACCACCTGAGGTCCCTTTCACCCTGAATTACCCTAAAATCCTATAATCATATGACAGAAGATGTAGATACACGGTAACATGAGAGGGCCTGACAAATAAGAACAGAGAGAAGAGAATCTGGGTCAAGGAGATGGACTTGTGAGCACTTCTTCGTGTTTGGCCCCCTCCCTCTTCTGCGTGCAGTACACCATGAGGGGAAAGATCTTTCAGACCTAAATTCTCACATGTACTTTGACATCTCATTTCCACTGAAAATAATGTTTTTGAAGAATGGGACCTGTTTCTCCCTGCTTGTATCAATGTCACAGTGGTAGCATCTGGACATCTACTTATAGTTGGTAAAGATAGGACAAAATAAGTGGACAATGGGAAAAACGGAGAGCTTGTAGGATTTGTGTATCACACAGGTATAATAGGATGTCCCAGCATTTTAGAGGCCTGATCCTCCTTTGACAACATTTCGGTAACCTAAAAATATCAGAGGCAGATACCTACCCTGAACTGGATTTGACTTTTATCAAAGTCTTTAATTTTCAGACCCAGAAAGAGTGAAGTGGGGCAGGATCTGCGTGTCTCCTTCTCGCTGTTGCTATGGGGCTATTGTAATCAGAGACTATAGAAAGGATACATGAATAATCTACTTAGGTGTCCAGTGTTCCCGGTGATATTTTATCCTTTCCAGGTCACACTGTGTGCTCTGTCCAAGATAAGCTGGCAGGTACCCATTCTCAAATGATGTCGTTGGAACAAAAAGACGTGGTTGTCTGAAATGCACATGAAGGAGCTGGTTTAGGCAAAGGATTTGTTTTGAAATATTCGAGCAAGAGTGCCCAAAGCTGTATGATTGGTTTCTGTGAAACCTCTAGGAGTTCAGCACCCTTTAAACCAAGCTATGTACTTATTTAATGTGAAGCGCGTAATTTTGGCAGCCAAATTTATTTTTGCCTGCAGATTGTTTTAATTAATGCTAGTAGGTCATTCTGACTAAAGAAGGAAGAGCACAATTGCTTTCATCTTAATCTCTCACTCTTTAATTAGAGATTGGCCTGAAACCAAGCCGGGAGCCCACGCATCTTCACACCCACACATACCGGGGCAAAGTCATCACTGAATTACACACTGCGTTCAGCTATCTGTCTATCTGTACACAATACATGCAGTGATGGCTGTGACACTTGTGAAGTTGCTCTGAGTCTCCAAAGCTGTAAAACTCGTTCCCATGCTTCTCTGACAAAAGTTTAGGTCACGGGTTAAAAATCCAAGTTGAAATCCCAAGACTGGTATCTGCAGATAGAGCCCATTACCCAGCCCACAAGATCAGAACTGAATCCAGATTTGATCGGGTCTTAAACTAAGCCTTAGATCAGGACCAGGTATCACATCAACGTGCCTGACAGCGGTGGTGGTAGGGCACCTGCTGAAATCACGTCTACTGAGCAGCCAAACAGAAAACGAGTGATGCACCAGTTAGAGAGAAAGGAGAGAGAAGGATCACAAAGGTATCTGGGCTTACAAAAGAGGAGGAAGACCGGGTGCCCAAAGAGGGTGCCCAGAGCGGTTGTGAATTCTCCATCTTTCAAAACTTCCAAAATTCAACAGGAACCCCTGAGTGACCTTATCAAACTTAGAGGGTAGCCCTGCTAGGTGAGCTTTCAGGGTCTCTCCAACCCACTTCCTCCAACAAATCTAAAAGAATTAGGGCGTTTGTGATCAGGAGACCACACCTGGCAGTGCCACATGGAATAGCCACTGCGTTTCTGTTGCCTGAAGTAACACAAAGGACTTCATCTCATTGTCACATATGATTCTCCACTAATTCCCAGTATCCAATTTGGATTCTGTTTACTTTTCAACATCTTCTCTGCTATTTGCTGGCATGGGGAGTTTTGTTGCCTTCAGGGAACCTAAGATGTTAACCAGGGAGCTGGAGGACAGGACCAAAGGTCTGTTTTCCCAATTCAGTAAGTCAAATAGTGAATCCACACTCAGCTCAGGCTGAACATGGACACAGCTCAGGGAGGATGCTTCAATGGGGAGTATCAGGATGAGTCCAAACTCCAGTGCTGGACATGAGGAAACATTTCCTTCACAGGTCTGGCCCAGACATCATGTGTGGAGTTAGGTCTCCTGGTGCTATCAGCTGGTTAAGATACAGATGTAAGTGTTGACTAAAGGGTCCCTCTTGATATCTTGACACTTTGATATCTTGATATCTCTTGATACTAATTTGCTAGTATAGACGTATCTTTGCTCTTTGTTTCACTATAGATATTAATTATACATGTTTATACATAATAAATATGCAATACATAAATCTAATAATTCCCTATATCATTAGCCTTCCTATCCACTCACATATTTCTGTCCCCTCCAGCTTGTAAGATACAAAATGGTGTCAGATACCCACTGACCAAGCTCCATGCCACTGCAGGCAGCATCCCAGGCAGTGCTGGCTGCTCTCCCAGCCTGAAACCACAGCCGGCTGCAGCCACTGCCTGGGGCATCTCCCCGTGCTCATGGCATCTGATTAATTGTGACCCCTGTAATTTTCTCATTTTATGATGAGGAATGATAATCCTGGGTTTTGTTACATCTCTCTGTTTTATAAAGACCATAATAAGGAATATTTTCTTCTCTTGCCCTGCCTATTTAGAGTGCAAATTTGGGGCATGGGGCAGAGAACTATCCTGGTTCTGTGCATCTGGTAGTTATCAAGGGGGTGCACGTACAGCTGAATAAGCTCGGTGGACTCTCTGCCTTTCTCCTTATCCGTATTTGTTCATTTTCACCTGAATTGTAATAGGATCAGCGTATGAGTTTTAGAAGTTGTCTGACATCACCAATCCTCTCCGTGCACCTGTCTGCTGGCTGATTAGATTACAGCTTTTTTCCACTCTGCTGCTTAGTGCGCGATAATAGGCGTTTCATCATCCCATTACACTAGAACATAAGAAGAGCTACTCTGGGTCAGATCAAAGATTCAACCACCCTAATCCCAAAACTGAGCGATCCTAAACACTTCAGGAGAAAACAGCGTGAGTATACAGCATTGCAGCAGGGTGCTTGTTCCTTTGTAGACATTTCTGTGTTCAAGAAACTGGCAACTGCAGGATTTCATAAGCTGGAGGCTGCAGAGGGTCGCTGTTTTTAACAGCCCCGATGGCTCCAGCCTTCCTCGGGAGCATGGGGGACCCGCAGCATCAAGTCCCACGGTGCCACTGGGTGACATAACCTGCCAACAAACCCACTTCCCATCTGCACACTGTGTTCAGTCCAGTCACCATTATCCATGCAATATCCCACTGCATGGTTAGCACAATATCCTGTCATCCTAAAAAAAAGACCACTTAAGCTTTCATGAGGTTGGCTCGACAACTAGCATGCTAACCTAGGGAACCTGCCTCAAGGACTCACTCAGGAGCAGACTTTCTCTGACAAGTTACACTGCCCCACAGAAGAAACAGCTCTGCCTTCTCTTACCAGTGGTCATGAGGGAAAAAGCATTAAATCCTGAGGTATGCTGCAGCAATAGAGGCTATACGGGGCACGGTGTTGTAAAATATGCCATGAAAATAATGATTTCTAGTTTATTTACAAAGGAAATCCTAGCTAAGCATCTCCATTTGGTTGGAGATGTGTCTGAAACCGTAAGCTCTGGGAAGGAAAGGAGAGAGCAGGCAGTGGGAGCTTCATTGCTTGGGAGTCTCGGCCCCAAATTGGCAGGGACCTGTGTGGGGACGGGGCAGGGAGCAGCACACACACACTGAGAGCAATAAGCTTTTCAAACAGCACACGCTGTACTCTGTGCTAGCAGGAGTTTGGATAACCGTGCAAAACCTCCAAGCCTGGGATCTTCTAAATAAATGCCACATTTATCAGTATCTAAAGCAGAACATGCCACCTACCCTTCCCCGACCCCATAAAGCAGTGTCATCAGTGAAGTCAGAGAGCGTCATTTGTTTCTTTAAGGGTTAAAAAAAATAATCCACAGCCACTGCCAAGCAGAGACAGAACTAAACAGGCAGCAAAGAGTCCAAGCCAGACAGAGACGTA